GTCTCGCTGGTCGCTGTGTCTGGGCGTCTCGCTGGTCGTTGTTGCCGGTTGCTGGGAGACACGCCGGCGGCACTTCGGGGTTTGTTAACCAGTGGCGGTGCCTTCAGGGAGAAGGGAGCAGTTTCGACTGCTGGCAGGTTCAACTCCTGCCATCGTCTTTGATTTAATGAGCTGGTGCTGGTAGTTCCGTGGCGCTGGCGGTGGACTTGGTGCTGGAGGTTGATGTGGTGCTGGAGGCTGACGTGGTGCTTGAGCGGCGAACTTGCTTAAGTAGATGGACTACGTCGGATGAAGGCAGGAAGGGCAGAGGAAGGCGTAGGATCAATGATGCTCCCATTGTCGAAGAGTACGTGATAGTTGGCAATGTGGTCGTCCAGCTTTCCGGATTTGTGGAGCTTCCGAAGAGCTTTCACTGCTGTACCTGCCGCAACAGCCGAAGATCCGTTCGCCATTAAGAAAGCAAGCGCGTTTGCTTGTGCCGTCACACCAAGTGCGAGCACCTCACTTTTGTATGCGGGAGATGCTGTGTCGAGGACAAAGCCGTCAGGTAAGAGCACCATCATGTACCCTACGGAGTATCTGAACTCATAAAGTGTTGTCTTCTTTATAGATTGAGTGGCATACACGCGAGGTTCGGACGTAAACCACTCATACCAGACGGCCGACAGCGACTGCGACCCTTTCTTCTTGGATCGAACCGCTTGTGGAGACTGCAGTGGCGCGAGTGTGGATATAGGTGCGTTAGCATGTGCAGCTAAATTCCCTGTACTTGGTCAAACGTTGGACGTTGCTGTGTCTGTCTGAGGCCGCAAATGCGCTTCCAGTGCTAACAACCTTTCCTCTAGACGTTTGTTTTGTAGGATAAGTACACTAATCTGATCAGACTGGCGCTTGACCAGATCCAATACCGCTGAAGTTTCGCTGGCGTTCGTGATGGAAGGCGTTGTGTCTGCAGCTGGAGCGAAGACGCAATTGATTGTTGCACTCCAAGCCAGCAATTCAGCCTCACTTATAGCTTGCACAGCCATGACCTCCCGCATTCGGACGATAAATGCACTGGTGTCTGAAAGCACAAGCATATCGGGATAGTGCATGATTAGAGTGGCGGCCAGGACTTCCGCGACTTCTACGTCCAAGTTTAAAGAGGAGTCTGAGAAAGCGGACGTGTTGGTGAAGAGCTGAGTCTGGAGCTGCTGAGCCCGTGCAAGAATAGGCTGTTCAAGTACGTGCAAGGACGGCAGTCGAGCACGTTCCTTGGGGTTCCATCCGCTCAAGACACGAGCGACCTTCTGGTCTGCCTGGGTTGTGCCCAACATATAACCGAAGGCTTTGTTAACCCGGTCAAGTTGCCAGCCACCACGCTCGATGATCCAGTTCTCTGCTAGACTTCCGTCATTGGCGTGCATTGCAGCACCACGACGGAACGAGTGCGAGGTAAGTCCCGGTGTAAGTCTAATCTGCATCTCTTCGGCTGATGTTTTGACTCTAACCAGTAATCTGTTCACGTAGGCTTGGGCACCTGGTACGGCTCGATTGGTCTTCAACTTCGAGGTGTCCTGCAACGATACAGGGCCATCGTCGGCCTCTAGCAGTTCTAAGAGGCTGAGCTCCTCTACATCACTGGATACCGCAGGATTACGTCTTGTAGTCAGGAATTGTGGAAACAGGCGCTTGTTTGGAGCCTTTTGCATTACGAGAGCAGCTGCTAAAGAGAAAAGCGGGCAGGTTAGGAAATTTGTTGGATCCTTGAACAAGGAAATGCCTTGCAACAAAGCTGTTTTAACTCTCTTGAAGCGGATAAAGAGCACACCACCTAGTACAACAACATTAGGACAACAGATTCAGTAAAGTTATAAGAACTCCACCGTACCAGGAAGAATTGAAAGTTGTTTTTTTCTCAAGTTGCTCTGCATCGGAGCTTCGGCCGTACAGGTACCACAACATAACCAATAAGGAGGCATCAAGATAGATATCTTCTGCACCAGAAGTATACAGTAGTCGCACGATGCTTTCTAAGTCTTGCTTAGAGCAAGGGGGCGCTTTCTTTTCAAAAACACCGTCTTCGCGATTGCTGCAAACTTTCCCTAGACTTGATAGAATTTTTTGTAGCTGCGGCTTCACTACCTGACCTTGTTGGGGATACATGTCTAACAACCAGTACTTCACGTTTCCAAAATACGCCAGACACGTATTCGTCGATCGCGATTTGTCTGTTGATCTTGCTAGAGAATACGCATACTTATCTAATATCACTCGTAGCACCTTACCAGTCTTGTCGGCATCGATAAGGTGATGAGCCGCGTCTAGTGTAATGCTTTCCGAAGCCAGAAATGTAGAGAACGAGTTGATTGCCGTCACCCTGGCCTTCTTGCTGCTTGCGGGAGCTAACGACGCGATGGACATGACTACAGTTCTGCTGATTGAGTATTCTTGTGATATCACGACAACCGACAAATTGGTTGGAAACCTCATGGTATTTTTAGAATATGCATTAATATACATATTTGTATGGAATATAAAATATCTTGAAAACATTCCAACCCAATATGGTTGGAATAGTTGGAATTTTTCCTAAGCCCAACCATTGGCTGTAATTATTCAATAATCTGTTTTCATTGGCTCGCAGGAGATGTAAGAATTATACAGAGTTGGAATAGAGTGGATATTATACCATACAAAGATAACCGATGTCTGGCTCTTTGCTTCGGTCGGGCGCAGTAGGTCAAATGCACCAGTCTAGTAATTACATCCCAAAACGATTTTCTTCTGGAATATGCAAATTTGTTTGTGCCTCGCTCAGCAGGTGTGAATTCCTTAGCCGCTTTCAATCCGCTGTTACCGAACTGATACTCGTGCCACAGTTCGTATAGGTCCTTAGGCCTCTCGGAGAGACAAGCAACGACCGGTCGCGCGCGAGATTGAGAGCTTGCAGGATCTGTGGCTGGCCGCAGCGCTCCACTGGAAGGCATAATTTGGCGAGCGGTTGGCTGCATGGCCAGTCGCTTCAACACGGCAAGAACCTTTTGTAGCTCTCGCAGCAATTCACTTCTGGCTCGTTGAATCTCATTCGTAGTCTCTATCATGTATCGTCGACTTGATGTAATTTTAGCCGGTAAAGCAGCTAGTTTACGTTGATTGTCGTGCTCACCAGAACGTCCAGTCACGGTTCGACGAGAAGACGAAGTAATACTACCATTTTTGGCCCCACCGTTTTGATGATTGTCGACAACTGCGAGGTTGAGATGCGAGCCATCGCCCAAGACATACAATTCTTCTCTGCGAATTGGATTCAAATCTGAACTTCCACCAGCATTTTTATAAGCCCGTAAAATTCTTTTTTTTTTTTTCAGATTTGCAGGAAGCAAACAATAGTTAAAACGGGAATCCGGTGTCAACGCTACCCACAATAATGTTTGTGCCAATGTCTTGGCAATTGGATCACCCATGGCCTGCTTGATAGTAGGCGTAATTTCGTCGACGAGAAAACTTGGTGTAACACATCTCATTCCGTCTTTTAGGGAGTAAAAGCGAGGACCAGTAGGTTAGGCGTCTGGGTAGGGCTGCGTGTTGTCGATGTACGCATCAACCACGCCCTTACGTGTTCTCAACCGCCCTCGACGATTCACAAAGCCTTTCGAAACACCACTACGAGTTGCATAAGTAACGGCACCTTTACGAAAGCTATGAGTACCCAGGTTTCAAGTGTTCAGATTCTTAAATTCCGAATTTTGAAATGTTTCGCTTAAAACCCGTCTTACACCACGATCGTCGTCTTTTGGGTTGCCAAAAACAAATGCAGAACTCATTAAATTTGTAGCAGACTCGGTGTAAATAGCAAGATTGAGTAGGGGGGCACATTCTTGGATCCATGCTGCCAACAATAATCTGCTCAGGTGCATCTCTTTCTCCAGAAATATTCTTCGACCACCGCATCTAACATACCATTTAAATGGGTATTGAGAGTTGTAACTGAAGTTACTAAATTGAAGCTTCATCATGTCGTCGATTCGTGCTATAATATGCCACTGGAGCGTCAAAACACTGCCAATCATGAGGCTGGAGCTGGTTCGTGATCTCGACGATCTTATTAGCTCTAGAACGCTAATAAATTCACAGAGCGATGTGCTTTTGACTCGACACCTTCCCAGCGGACTTCAAGCGTTTCACTCACTTGATTAGTTTGTTGACATCATCTGAGCGTGTTGGGTTACCTTGCTTTGCCACTGGATCCCACGTCTTGTTTAGCCGTGGCATGAACGCTGATACGGCCTTTTTAGCGATACTTGATCTTACATGTATGGGTCTGATGTCTTCGTTCGGTTCTGGGTCTCCGTACGCCCTCTTGTTCATCCAGTGACACACGAGGGTGGGTGTGATACTGAGGAGCTTCTCTGCGGTGAAGGAATGCGAGGCGTCGTATGTCTTGTCGTCCTTAAACGACATGAGCTTCACGAGCTCTGCTCTGTAGCGACTGGTGCTGATAGCGGTGGGTTCTGTTGTGCGCCGTTCCATCACACGCTCTAAACCGTAGGGTTTGCAACCTTACTTAGTTTTACTATAGATAGTCTGACTTTCAATTTGTATGAGAGGGTTGCCAAGCGCTGCCGTTCATGCTACGGTGCCTGCAACGAAGGTTGAAAAAGGCACCTCATTTTTATGCATGGTACCAGCCTCAAATCCGGTCAATATGGACCATCTAGCCAATTAAAACTCGCAATTCACAGAAATACAACTTTGGGTGCAAATTGCCGATAATGTGAGAGTATTCTACATATTTTCTAGTATTGGAAGAATGAAGAAGGAATAATAAGTTATGCCGTACGAAAAAAGAAACAATAGCTATTGTATTGATTCTATTTTTTCCAACCTCTGATTTCAGGAACTAAATGATGACCGAAAATCGTAGTATTTCAGAATTTTTCAATGTGTGTTCAAATGATTATGCTGCACAGGTTTTTACCGAAGCACTTAAGCCTCAAGGTGCTACACAATTTTAACAGGGTCTCTCGTGGCAGGTTAGAAGCACTTGCGGTGGACGATCGAGGGTCCAGCCTCGTCATACTCAGCCTTCGAGATCCACATCTGCTGGAACGTCGACAGTGATGACAGGATAGATCCACCGATCCAGACCGAATATTTGCGCTCAGGCGGAGCGACAACCTTGACCTTCATCGTGGACGGAGCCAAAGCTGTCAGCTCTTTGGTCAAGCGCTCACCGATTCCAGGATACATCGTGGTACCACCCGACAGCACGATGTTGCAGTACAAGTCCTTACGGATATCGATATCACACTTCATGATAGTCTGGAAGGTACACTCGTGGACACCCAAAGCCTCTTTGCCAATGAGGCCAGGCTGAAATAGTACCTCAGGGGTACGGAATCGCTCGTTTCCGATGACGATGACATTACCGTCCGGCAGCTCGTAGCTCTTCTCCAGACCCGATGACTCCACAGCAGTTCTCATCTCCTGGTCGAAATCCACAGCCACGTACGTCAGTTTCTCTTTGATGTCGCGCACAATTTCACGCTCAGCCGTGGTGGTGAACGAGTATCCACGCTCTGTCAAAATCTTCATCATGTAGTCCGTCAGATCGCGGCCAGCCAGGTCCAGGCGCTTGATGGCACTCGGAATGGCGTAGCCCTCGTAAATAGGAACGGTGTGGGAAACACCGTCACCCGAGTCGAGAACGCAGCCTGTAGTACGGCCTGAAGCATATAGGGACAGCACAGCCTGGATATTCACGTACATGGCGGGTACGTTGAACGTCTCGAACATAATCTGAGTCATGCGTTCGCGGTTGGCCTTGGGGTTAAGCGGTGCTTCCGTCAGTAGTACGGGGTGCTCTTCAGGAGCCACTCGCAGCTCATTGTAGAACGTGTGATGCCAAATCTTCTCCATGTCATCCCAGTTCGTCACGATGCCGTGCTCGATAGGGTACTTCAGCGTCAACACACCGCGCTTGGACTGCGCCTCGTCACCGACGTAGGCGTCTTTCTGATCCATGCCGACCATAATGCCCATATGCTTGGGGCGACCCACGATCGATGGGAATACGGCGCGCGGAGCATCGTCGCCGGCGAAACCAGCCTTGCACATACCGGAGCCGTTGTCCACGACAAGAGCTTGAACGTCTTCTTCGGCCATTTTGTCTTGGATCTTCTGCCTAACA